GCTATTATAAGACATGCAGAATATATTAATTTATATGTGCTTACATCATATCCCCTGAGTACAGCAATATGGAAGGCTAATAACTGGAGCGGAATCACATTCAGAATGCCTTGTAAACAATCAATATTCTGCGGCATTTCCAACACTCTGGATCCATACTGCTGGTTTTCATTGTCACCTTTCTCGCATATCAGTATTGGACGACCCTATGGAACAACAAAACATTGCAATGTTGATTACTACCACCATTGATCTCAGTAGGTCAAGTATGTAAAGAGTGGTGAAATCAAACCACACTACTACAAATATTCCAATAAGTAGAGAATACAGGTCACATTTTCTCAACAATGACCAAGCGGTAACTGGTCAACTAAGTAGGAGGAAATGCAGGCCAAATTTGTTAAAATTTTTAAAAGTTGTTTTTGACTTTTTTTGACTTTTTGACAGATGATATAGTGGCTTGCAGATAATCAGCGAGAACTCTAAACTCAACGATTTTTTTTTTCAGAAACATTGTTACTGTTAGTAGTTCTAATAAACACACTAGTGTATATTCTATTTTCACGATTGAAGAAATTTGTTAACTTACCCCTCGGGCAACCACTTGTTGTAAGGCATTCTGACATTTCTGAAAAAAAAGGATTACTTTTTGTTTATAATCATTCAAAATTAATCTCAGAAGAATTGAAACTAGTTCTTGAGACACTGAACAAATATATATGTGTTGACAACAACCACCATTTTGGTTGTGGAATCATGGGAATTGTATGTAAATCAACCATACCAAATATGTATTGTCTTTCATGATAATCATAATAACAGGCATGGTTTTATCCACCAATGCCAATGGTCCATGTTTCAGTTCACCAGCTAGGATGCCTTCGGAGTGCAGGTAACATAACTCTTTAATTTTCTGAAAAACAAGAATATTACACAAGAACACAGCAATGTTATTTTATAAAAGTAATGTAGATTCACTTAAAGGTGTCTGAGGGGATACTAAAGAAAAAGAGTTTAGGGGTGATCTTGGATTCCAACACTAGGGTCCAACCTTGGTTAACCCAAACCGTCTAAACCACCCGCATAAAACCCAATTTGATCACCCCTTTTGGCACCATCTACAAAAAGATTTTCAAAATAAAATGTTGATAAAAATTGACAAAACTATTGATTGAAACATAAAAGCAACATCTAAAACTGTCTCCATAGCCCAAAATGGATATGAAATTTACGAAAATTTTTACAAAATTTGAAAATAATTGCACTGAAGTTTTGGCAGGAAAAATATTCGGCACTCAAATGATTTAAACACTTGAACATTCTATGTTTATCCAGTATGTCAAGAATGATATTGTTGTTGCAAGTGATTATGTACCGTATTTATGCACACCCAGTCCTACTTTTGTATGAATTCTGTATTTTCAGTCCAGTTATGGAAAGTGTTACATAGAAGGGGTGTGTTTTCAACATCTGTATGTGGAGCAGTTCTGGTTTTCCTTCAGATATAAATAATGTCATATCTTATGCAACATAAAAGCAAGTATTATATTTGGAAGGCCACACTTACTGTGTCACTTCCAAGTTATACCCCAAAAATAACAAGTCATTGTCAATGACACGTCCCCGTTCCGTTCATATTTGAGTGACAAATACAATCAAAGCAGCAACAATATGGATGTTGAACTGCATTCAGTAAAACAAAATAGCCACCAGTCAGCCATTTTCAACACAATCCAAAAAAAAATTTAAACTAAATTTGCCCACGCATGACATAGATTCAGTTCCGGTATGGTGAAAATGTGCAATGTTTGTGAATTTTTAACCTTAAATAGACTGGCCCAAATGCACAGGCATATGTATGATATAATGTATGATGTGTATGTGAAGTTTGAACTTGATCTGTCCAGGCATGTCCGAAATATGGATCGAAAACTAAATTCTTTAAACAAAATGGCTGCCAGTTGGCCATTTTGAACTTGTTTAATATATGCACTAAATCTGAACAAAATCCATTCATGCATGACTGGGATCCGGTTCCGGAATTGTGAAAATACGTGATTTTGATGCATTTTCGGCCTTAAAATGGCCATCATTCAGCTATTGTTAAGC